GCTATAACTTCCATAGTAGGATTAGGAGCCTTAGGATTAATGGGCGGCGGATAGGAACCCCAGTCTAATGCTAGAGCACCTAGCATTAACCCATTTTCTAACTACGTAATATCCTACCCTAGATTTTCTAAACCTTTAAGGTGCTTAATTTCCTCTATAAATTTTATTAAATCTACTAATAATTTATTTTCTTATTCTTTTAATAATCGTTTCTACTTTAGTAAATAATTCCTTTTACTATAGGTAGTCTAAAGAGTGGCCATGGCAGCTTCTTCTTTAGTAGCCGCTGCCTCTTCTAATCTCTCTAAACGGTCGACTTCAGAATCAATTTAGGCAAAGTTTAGAATAGCAGGTTCTATAGGTTCGCATTTTAAAATTCCATTATAATAATAATTCCCATATTAAACCTTTAGGGACGATATTTTATAAGCCAAACCCTTCTTCACGTAATATTTATAAGACACTATAGTAATCCACCTAGTAGCATTTATTTAATTCCTAATAGTATGACGATAAATAGTACTACGGGAGGATATTAGTTAATGCATAAGGACATACATGGAAAGGGAGGAGGTAATATTAGGATCCTAAGAAGTGGGCGAGGATAGAGGTTACTTATAACAGCATGCAACCTTAGGTCCCATAAGGATTAGGTAATGTCTTATAGTTATCCTAAGCGCCAAGCCATGGGATAATAGAATCACATAATAAACGTTATGTGACTATACCATGGGATCCCACATATACTAAGCATGGGATTTCATAGAAGCATGGGATATTATGGGATCACTTAAGTATATAGGAACGCGAGTATAAACCCTTATACTTATATTTAACCTATTTATTAATCTATTATTTGGATTATACTTAGGCTATCTTATTAACTCGTTACATCCTCCTCCGATACTATCGTCTCGATAAAACCCCTCTCCTTCCCTTAGTTGTCTTGCCCGAGAACCAACCCTAACCCTTTAGGACTAGCTACCCTTCTAGATTTAATAGCAACTCGTTTCTATAAGGCTTAATGCCCTTAGTTAATAGTCGTCTAATCTGCGCCTTATTAAGGTGTTTACCCTAATATTTACCTATATGACCTGCCTAGGTACCTACTATAAATGTGGCTGCCCATGGGACTATCATTAATATTGGCTGGTTGGACACTAGTATCTCGGTGTATTATTCTAGTAATGGGC